CTATTGAACTCAGCGTGGTCGGTTACCTCTGTTCTGTTCCCTATCGGCTTGGTCCGAAGTCCTTTGATTGATTTCGGGGGTCTCAGGAAAACGCCTATAACTCATAAACGGAACTATGTAGAGAGCTGGGCCTTGCGCAGATCGAAAGAGAATAATTTTCTCTATCGAGTGGCTATATTTCAAGTCAAAATCAAAATAGAAATCACTTTGGAATATCGTTCACAAAAGTTTCACCTACAACTTACCTGCTTGGCTAATAGCTGACCATTCAAATTTCGAATATGTTTCGATGTCCCCCAGTGTTCTCTCTCGAATGACGAAAACCGCAGGTCTCTACAATGTTCCTATGGAAAGTTATTCAAAAAACAGTGGAGGACATTATATTTTGAAACGAATAATAGATGTCGATATGATAATTAAGATGGGATTTTTTATTCAAGATCTTTATCGAGAAATTGAATGGCTGCATTCAAAGGCTCAATACACGGACAAAATAATTGTTTATCGAGGACAGGGCTTATCAAATGCCGATTTCGAAAAGATGAAAAAATGTAAGGGTAGTATTCTCTCATTCAATAACTTTTTGTCGACAAGTACTGATCGAGAAGTAAGCTTGATGTTTGCGGACAGCACTCGATCAAATTCTGATCTGACGGGAGTTCTATTTCAAATGGAAGTCGATCCATCTATTTCGTCAATTCCATTCGTTCAAATGAACATCTTCAATGAAGATCAAGAGATTATCTTGTCAATGAACACTGTTTTCCGAATTGGTGATATCCAACAAATTGATAATCAGTTATGGCAAATAAATCTAACATTAACGAGTGACACTGATCCACAATTGGAATGTTTGACCGACTATATTCGAAAAGAAATTGAGAACGAAAATGCTTTAAACAGTTTAGCTTTATTAATGAACAAAATGGGTCATTTCGATAAAGCTAAAGAAATCTATACAACCTTGCTAGAAACTACATCTTCGGCTACAAATTATAGCAGTATTGGCTTGACGTATCAATCAATGGGAAATTATTCCACCGCACTGTCTTACTTTGAAAGAACACTTGAAATTGATCAAAACTCTCTTCCATATGATCATCCATCGGTAGCTACTACGTATAACAACATTGCTGGAGTCCATCAATCAATAGGAAACTATACATCATCACTCTCATTTTATATGAGAGCACTCGAAATTAAACAGAAAAATCTTCCATCAAGTCATCCATCATTGTCAAATATCTATAATAATATTGGCGAAGTGTATAGTTCAATAGGAGAATACTCCAAAGCGCTTTCATTCTACGCAAGTGCGTTAAATATTCAGCGAAAATTTCTTCCATATAATCTTCCATTATTGGCTATTATCTATAATAACATCGGTTCTGTACATCGATTGCTAGGAAATAATTTCATTGCAATTGAATTCTATGAAAAAACACTTGAAATCGAGCTTCACTATCTTCTACCCAATCATCCATCATTGGCAACTACTTACAACAACATAGGTCTTTTGCATAGTTCCAGAAAAAACTACCCGACTGCTCTTGCTTACTACGAAAAAGCACTTGATATTGGACAAAAAACTCTTCCATCGGATCATTCATCATTAGCATTACTCTATAATAACATTGGTGAAGTTTATGATTCAATGAAAAAACATTCAGCAGCTCTATCTTTCTATGAAAAGTCACTTGAAATCTTACAGAAATCGCTTTCAGCTAATCATCCAGAATTAGCTGCTGTTTATAACAATATTGGCGAGGTATATCGATCAACAGGATTTTATTCAACAGCATTGTCATATTATGACAAGACACTAAAAATTGAACAAAACACTCTTCCATTGAATCATCCATCGTTGGCTATTACCTACACAAATATAGCTGTAGCATTAGAAGGTCTTCAACGATATCATGACGCTGTTGAACATGCAGAACCAGCTGTTGATATTATTCGTCATACTTTTGAATCTAATCATTCAAAAGCAAAAGAAATTCAAAATTACCTTGATAAACTCCGAGAAAAACTTTAATATCATGTCATACGTTTTTTTTTTTCTTCTTTTTTTTTAATAAAACAGAATTACATTGAATCACGTCGGAAGAGTATGCCATGTATACGAAAATGTCGACTCTTGAGCCTTCTACATGATCGAATAGTTGACATTTTCTAATTTCGGAATCAATGTTATTCTGAGTTTTTATGATGGTTTCATTAGGTTTTCTAGTGATATTCTCATGATTTTCAACGAGATCTGGGTGGGGATCATGGTATTCTCTTTAATTCCACCTACATCCACCCATGTAAGTCATCTATTATAGCTTGACGAATAGTGAAAAAATATTAGGTAACATAAACAGACTTATTTCGAATAGAGATATTTATAAGATCAAAAGCATGATTTTTCATTTTTCTCAAAAGACAGTTTTTTTCGAGTATACCGTGTATATGGGCACAATTTTCTTAATAACGACTCAATATAAAAGTGATACTTTTTAGTTTATTATACAACAAACAGGTAGGGCTAGGTCGTAATAGATAGAGCCTGATTTTTGAATTTCTCCTTACTGAAATAAAAAATTTAGATCTTTGATTTTAATTAGCGGATTTTTGGTCATAGGTTTAAGAATTTTTCGAAAAAGTTTAAAAAAAAAATACTATAGAGAAATTCCTTATTACGACCTAGCTCTAAATGTACTCAACAATTTAAAAGCCATCCCTACATATTAGTCTGTATTCTCATTTTAAAAAACTTTTCCCGTGTAAAGGGCATGTTCAGCCTATGAATGATTATAACTCGTGAGTATCTTGAAGATTTTAGGGGAAATATTTTACTTATAATCTATTCAAGCCAAGATACATTCTCTGAAATTACGATTGAAATCTGATGAAAACTAAAAAAGTTTATTTCGAAGATGGGAAGGCGCCTTAAATGCATATCGCTGTTGTTCACCTAAAACAAATAAGATTTCAAAATAAAATACGAATTTGAACATAATTTCAATGTTCTTGATTAGGATATTTGTTTGCTATTTCATCGAAATTTTGACTTAATAGTCTATCAAAAAAGTGTAAATGGTGATCCGTCATGAAAATAACTTGAATTGATAGTTTTGTTGTTGTAGAAGTATTACATTTGTTACACAGGAAAATAATTCAAATTGGTGTATAACATAAGATATTATTTATTACGAACAAATATCTCTAATTTACTACTTTTACAGAATCAAAAAGATGTTTAGTTAACCTGACGCACATCTCTCTTAGTTTTTCTTTTAATATTCATAAAAAAACAAAAAACAAAGATATGATAAATATGTTTTTTTTCTTGTATACATGGAATATCTCTTTGTAATAATTTTAACAAAAATATTTTTTTTTACAAAAAGAAAAAGTTAATCTTTAAAAGTTTTGAAAGCTGATTTATTTGCATATTCATCTTCAAATTTAACCATTTCTAATGCTAATCGATCACGTAAACTAATTAACTTTGTATCTAAATCTGATTGTTGATTTTTAAATCTTTGTCGTTGTGCTTTAACAGCATCATTAATAGCTCGAAAATCATACAATACAGCTTGATCTTTTAAATCCGAAACAAGTTTAAGTAATGATTCAAAAGCACGAACCTAAATAGATCATAGAACACTAAGAATAAATTAAAGAACTTCAAAATCAATCCTTGTTTACCATATTATAAGCTCGTACACGCATTTCAAAATCATCTGTTGTATTTGTTAATAATCTTGGTAATTGATCTTTTATTTGATTTGGTTGTATTTCTTCAACTCGAATAAGAGTAATAATTGCCATAAAATTATCTAATATCGATTGAAGATTATCTTTTGCTTGTTTATGGAAAGCAGCACCTTTAACATTTGTTGTACGATTTCGATTATCCATCTTCAATAATCAAACAAATTAATACTTTTTTTTTCTCTAAACGTTTATTTCTAAATAAGTTCTTTCAAAATAAAATAAAACAATAAAACAAAAAGCATGATTATATAGTTAAATTGAGAAAAAAAAATAAAGATCCAAATTAGGCACATCTACTTTTGAACAAAAAACAAAAGAAATTAAAATAAAAACAAAAAAAAGAAATCAAATGAGATTTTTTCAATCAGAACATTGAGATATCATGATTAGAAATGTGTGTTCCATTGATACCATTATTGTAATCGTTGCCATTATTTGTCGATGACACATGACTTTGTGGATTAGATGTTGGTTCATCTTTACCATTATTTAAAACTATAAAATAAAATTTAATATAAGAATACGATTCAATATTAGACAACATAAGGTACGGGGAAAGGTTATATATATATACATATATATGTTCGACAACAGAAAAACAGACCTGAAAAGATGGAGGAAGTAATCCTGTTGGTGCTTTATTTTTTATTAGGTTATTTAAAATTTAGAGAATAAAAAAAAGAAAATGATTATCTTACCAGAACGTTCAAGATTTGTTAGTGATGGTGCTTTTGCTTGCATTTGATGTAAACGCCGATCTTTTTCTTTACGCTATAAAGAAAGAAAAAACAGGATTTTTAATTCCATGGTGTTGTTGTTTTTTTCTTTTACCTCTTGCCGACATTTATAAGCATTGCCAAGTAAACGAAGTTCTTCACATAATGCTTCATAACGATATGCAATACGAATAGCTGGAACATTAGTTCGACGAATGTCATTACCAGCTACACCAGTTTCTTGATAATCTGGTCCTAGCCAATACATTTTAACCTGATTAATTCAAAAGAAACACATAATTGAGAAAAAAAGCATTCAACTTTGTTTTTTAATTTTATACTTCATGAGAAAAACCACTCATTAGAACAGAATTTCGAGCTAATTCACACATATCAACTGATGATAATTTCCAGACTTGTGCTGCAATTGAATATTCTTCCATTAAAGGTTCCTAAATAATCATCAAAATTAGAAAATAATTTATTAGTGAAAAAATTTTCTCAATCCAGTTAGAAAGTTCATTCTTAAATATCAATGTTCTGCAATTCAAGAACTAAAATGTCAACTCATCATTAGATCTTATCCATATTCTACAATAATTCAATTCAGTTTCTATTTAAAAAGAATTTTAGATATGTGATCTTATCAATGAACACCAAACAGAAGAAAAATTCTTCTCTATGCTTTTAGCATCACATGTCATGTAATGTATTGCATTGATTCTTAAATGTATATATCAAATTCTATTCATTATTATGTAAAAGGAAACTATCTTTTTCTCATCAATCAATATGAAGTTGTATATTAATATTACAAACGAAAAGTCAAACCTTAGTAAAATGGAATTGCATTGGATCATCTGTTGATAATGATACACATAAACCACGTTCAAAATATTCCAACATTGGATTACGATTATAATTAATAAATAAGGAATTATTACTTAATGGTGACATGGCAATACCAATCTGACATAAATAAAATAAATATTGCAATACAGGAGACTAAACAAATAAAATTTTGATAAATATTTAACTAATTGAGAAAAAAAAACAAATAATTTACTTTGCGTAAAAGTAAACCATGTGAAATATTTTCAGCAACCATATAGGCTGTAACTAAATGTGTAACAGCACCAGCTTCACCACAATGGGGACGAAATTGAAACGTATTTAAACCACGAGCTCTAGAGAAAAATATTTTGAATAAAAAAAGCAAAGCAACAAATTTCATTCTTTTTCAAACCTTCGAAGTTGATTTAATGTAAGAATATTTGCATACATATAAAACTAAAAGAAAAAATAACTAAATTAATGTCTTAATTGAATTTTTTTGTTTATACCAAATAATAAACATATGGTGGATTATCTTTCATATTCCATTCTTCTGGATATGGCATATCAGCCGTAAGAATTGGTCTTTCAGGTTTTGTTTCATCATCAACAGAATCAAAGCCTGTTAAATGATGCATAAAACGAAATAAATCTGGATGTGATGATGGATCAATTGTTGCATCAAATAATGGTTGAAATAAATTGGTTAAAAACTCTTGAAAATTTTTTGCTATACCATTTGCATGATAAACATCACTAAATTGAATAAAAAAAGAAATTGTTTTTATTTTGAATTGAAATATAAACATACTAAAGACGAGGTATTTGTACCATCCAACCAACATTTGCTGAGTACATTGTATTTTTAAGACACCATTTAGCTAATTTATCCCATTCATCAATACTTTTACCATATATTGATAAACGAAGCTCAGCATGTTGATATTTACTGTCTTCTAAATCAAACATGACTTCCTGGCAACAAAAAACACAAATAAAATTTTATATTAAATAAAATTTTAGAATTTTTACTTTTAATAAATCAGCAAAGAATACACCTTCAATATAATTGTCAGTTTTAATAAAAATTTCTCTAAAATCATAGAAGAAAAACAATAGAAAATATAATAGCACTCAAAATTAATCGTATACCTAACAGATGATCCTGTTTTCTTCATATCTCAAGAAGTTTGAAATATTGAGCTGCAAGTCTTCCATAAAATCTAGCTCCTTACAGCTAATACTAGCTGTAGCTCTAGACAGAAGACTGATCTAACACAGAGTCCTTGTGCTCAATTGCTTAAGCTCTATATACACATCGACTAGCCACAGATTTCGAGTCTTCGTTCCCAAGGTGGTTTTTTCAACGAAAAGTTGTAGCCTTTCTCGAGTCACGTAAAAAATGGGCTTACGAATTTCGACCTCAAATTTTGCAAGAAAAAAGTTCTTGATGAGATTACAGCTTTTTGTTAAAAAGCCCATCTCGAGAACGAAGGTCCGGGAAAAAAGCAAACTCTTTTGGACTTTTCTATTACTTATCAAATGAACGTGGTCTTAGTCGAAAAGCGATTGGATATCTGAAGAGGTTCCTTCGTAAGATATAGGGAAACGAAGTCATCGGTTAGGCATACGAGTAATTTCAAGTGATGCTTCTTTTTTTACCTTAAAGCACTTTGACCAAGTGGATTATATTTAGCGTTAAAACGATCAAAACGTTGAAAAG